CAGCTCCCTCTCGCTTCCGGGAGCCAGGCACGGGCACCGTGGTCTCTGGGGACTATTATCCGACACTGAATTCAGGGTCACAAAGTGTGGAAAAGTGTGCAAGCTCGGGCACACCCAGGTCACGTGCCTCTACCGTGGCCCATCCAGGCAGAGCTCAGTGAAGACCAGCCCGCCCCCCCGTCGGCAGCCGGGCGGCCCATCAGCTCTCGCTCCCACCCCCCGTGCACTGTGTCATTTTTAAAAAATTGATCTTAAAGAGGGGAAGGGAGGCCGATGGTGTGGCTCAGTGGTTGAGCATCCACCTATGAACCAGGTCACGGTTCACTTCCTGGTCAGGGCACAGGCCCGGGTTGGGGGCTCGCTCCCCAGTGGGGGGCGTGCAGGAGGCAGCGGATCCATGATTCTCTCTCATCATGGATGTTTCTCTCTCCCTCTCCCTTCCTCTCTGAAATCAACAAAAATATATTTTTTAAAAAATAAAGAGAGGAAGGGAGAGAGAGAAACACCGATTGCTTGCCTCCCGACGTGCCCTGACGGGATGGGACCCGAAACTGGGTATATGCCCTGACCGGAAAGTCAAGCCGCCACCTTTGGTGTCCGGGACGATGGTCCAACCAGCCCAGCCATGCCCACGGGAACCATACATCCCTTTGGACACCGGGGCTCGCCCCCTGGGGCTCGAAGCGAAGGCACAACGGATGCGGGGGAGGGGGGGGGAGTGCGTGTCTTCCGCTTGTTCCCTCGCGCTGTCCCTTCCACCCTGCTTCTGCGCTCAGACCCTGAAGTCAGGCTCCGGAGGCCGCTCCTCTCCTCTCACGGTGACGACAGAGGCCGCGCGTCACACCAGATGTCAGCTACCAGGCAGCTCACCGGGTGGGTGTGTTAGAGATGCATGTGACCAACGGTCGCTCAGGTGGCCGATAGCATAAAAAAACCACCACTGGCCCGGTCGCCGGCGTGGCTCAGGGGTTGAGCATCGACCTAAGAACCAGGAGGTCTTGGTTCCATTCACGGTCGGGGCACAGGCCCGGTTTGTGGGCTCCATCCCCCGTGGGGGGCGTGCAGGAGGCAGCCGGTCCATGACTCTCTCATGATTGATGCTTCTATCTCCCTCTCCCTTCCTCTCTGACATCACTGATATATATGGGGAGAGATTCCTGCATATTTCCCTGGGTTTGGGTGGGGGGCAGAGGAGGGGAGTGCAGACTACGAATGCAGTAAGTCCCCACTAAACATACAGCTAGGTTCTGCGACTTTAAGAGAAATGGCCTGTAACGAAACTCATTTTACCGGAGGCTACTGATTTAAACAAGAGTTAAGTTCCCACAGTGTCTAATCAGTGTTACAATGAAGCCACGGGAATGCAGCAAGGTTACTGCTGGGACCGCGGTACCGGGAACAAATGAGGACCAATAGAGCCGCCTCCACTGCTGGCCAACCCCCCCACCCCCGCCTCATGGGGAACGGAGCACTAATCTCACAGAAGAGGGTTCAGGCTGGTGAACAAGATCTGGGGCTCTCAGCGGGGGTGGGGCAGACGTGAAATCTGGGTTGAAGATTTGTGTTGCCAGGCAACCTGGTTGCCCCCTTCCTGGAACAGCCAGCAGGGACCCCCCCTCGCCCCCAAGTTACAAAGATGAGTGTAAATAACCCTAAATGGTGAATTCCACCCGAGGGACTGTGGTACAAAGCATCAAACAGAGAAACCAACATGTTTCTGCCCATCCAGTTACCAGTGAAAAATCTAAGAAATGGCCATTCATAATAATAATAATAATAATAATAATAATAATAATAAATAGCAACAAGCCCTTAGCACCCGCCAGGTGCTAGACAATCCTTGCAATAGGCCTCCGAGGCAGGTGGTATTGTCTACTTCACAGACAGAGAAACGAAGGCCCAAGGAGCTGTCAGCTCCGTGCACCGGGGCTGGTGCCGAACCCAGCAGCTTGCTTTGGGGGCCACGCTCGTAACCGCAGCGCGCACCCCCAGACCCCGGCAGAGGCCAGCGTGGGTGGGGGCAGATTGTGCGAACCCCAGGCTGTCTCTCCAGTGAACGGCCCCTAAGGGTGACATGGGATTGGTCCCCAGTCCCTTGAATTCTAATGAACCACCTGGCAGAGTGAACCACGCTGTCTCGTCTGAGCAAGGGGCCAGGGAGGGCGAACGCGTGACTGATGGGGGCCTGTTACAAGAGGGGAGGCGCCTGGGTTTTTGGAGCTGGAGCCTCCCGCACCCAAGGCCCCGAGTCCGGTCACTCCGAGCTGCATGAGCTTGGGAGGCCTCAGTATTCCCGTCTGTGAAGTGGGCACAATCGCCGCCCTGCGTTTACGGGCTGGTTCTGGGGGTTAAGTGAACTCAGGCATGGATACCAGAAGCTATTTACACAACCACCTCATGGCCGGAGGATTTACCAAGTCCACCCGTGAGAACTTCCTTTCGCCATATTCTGAGGCCCTGCTTCCGATAAACACCCAGCAGCCAACAGGGAATGGACTGCGGCTGCTGTGAAGAGGCCTCCCGCCTGGAGATACCTTTCCTTTGCGAAAGCTGTGCTGGTGTGACCCCGCAAAGCAACGCCATGCGGACGCTTCTAATGGGGGATTTCTAAGACGAACACACAGATTTTTAAAACTTCTCCACTCAGCGGATGGCAGGCTGGGAAGGGAGCTCCCGACTGGCCTCTGGGCGGACTTGGATCGCGTGGCTGTGAATGGCCACACAGGACAATGCATGCCTGGGGGTGGGGGGTAAGGAAAGATGCCCAGGGCAGGTCTCGCCCCAGACCCTCCCCCTGCAGACGCAGGCGGCAGCCTAACGAGCCTGGTGTCCCCTGTGCCACAATCTAGTTGGGGTCCTGTTCTACTTCCCAAGTCGATTGCGGGAGCCCCGGGATTTCAAGATCCACGGCTCCTGGCGAGGTTCCGGGTTATATTTAGCAAATCGCCTCTTTTTCTCTTTCTCCTTTTTTCTAGTCTCTTTTCTGTCTTTCTTTTTTTAAAGTAAAGGACAGGGGGGCAGACCTAGCGCCGAAAGGAAGTGAGCGGTTCTGGGCCAGATCTCCCGCCGCGCCCCAGGAATGCTCGGGCGCCCGGTGGGGCACAGCACACTTTGGGGGGGTCTGTGTGGGCGAAGAGCGGCCCCTACAACTTCTCCTTCGCGTGCTCGGACCAGCCGGCCAGACAAAGACCGCAAGTTCTCCGGGCCACGGCTGCAGACAGATGGAGACCGAGTCTCCCCGAATTAGGCCCGGGGCGCCCCGACCGCCTCAGAGGGGGTCCCCAGAACGCTCCCCGCGTGGTCCGGAGTGCCTGAGCGCCGCCCGGGCCCCGCACC